ATAGTAAATTACACAGAAACTTAGAAAGTTTTACTTAAACAAACTATCTATGCATAGGGCAATATATCAAGATAACCCAAGGCATGCAGGAATGCGGATTCCTTATCTCAGAGCAGTATCAGTACATCTGGTCTTTGTCTGTTTTTCTAGTCAAGTAAGCTAATTACTTCTACAAAATGCAGTAATTTTTTCCTTTTCTGAGCATTTGTCATGTCACAAGAAGCTTCTCGCACCATTTATGTAAAGAATAGCTCTCCTCATATGTAGTTTTTTAAATGATGTGGCCATTTTGTCCTTTTAATGCATTTTAATTCTTGTGGTAAGAAATGGGTGCTGAGCTTCATCTCTAAGTACAGGCAACCCCCACATAATGCTGTTTCTCTTAGCACTATTTCACTATACTGCTTGTTTTACATTGATACTCGATTCCACTTAGCGTTCAGTGAGTTTTGTTATAATGTTCACGGGCATTGTTTAGCTAGCGCCGGGGAGTATACACTAGCTTCACAGCGCATTGGCAGTGTGCAGCTTCATTGTGCAATTTAACACCAGTTTGCTTGTGTCACCATCTTGGTTTGTCAAAAACTTTTGTGCTCTGTGTTTAGCAATTAATTTTGACCTTTAAAATAAATTGTCATGAGTCAGAAATGTGCTACCGACTCTAACCAAGTACTGAGAAAAAACAGCACAAAAGCTTAATGCTGGAACTTAAATTGAATATCCTGAAGTGAACTGAAGCAGGTGAACGCCAGAATGAGGTCTGTAGACTATTACTAGTAGGGAGCCACACTAACGAATTATATTTATTTACATTAATTCCTATGGGAAAATTGGTTTTGCTTAACGCTGTTCCACTTAACGCTTAGTTTTTTGGGACCCAGTTAAGAGTGTTAAGCAGAAGTTGACTGTATTACTATCTCTGGCGGAAAAAATGTTCCCTATATCTGTAATAAGTCTCTTCATGTAATTTTATTCATTAAAACTGCAAATATACACTTTGCTTTCAGGTCATTGCTTGTGAACTTGACACACGACTCGTGGGTGAACTTCATAAAAGAGTCCAGGGCACGTAAGTTTTAATAGTATATTTAAAAAAAAAAAAAAAAAAAAAAAGCTTCACAGCATTTTAATTGCCTCAGATCTGTAGATGTGTGTGTTAAGATGATACTTTTGCTTTTCCTCCCCCATCTGTAGATGTCTGGCAAACAAACTTGAAATAAAAGCTGGAGATGTTCTCAAAAGCGATTTACCATTCTTTGATGCATGTGTAGCCAACTTGCCATATCAGGTACAGCAAAACAGTTGCAGTGGAATTACAGTTGAAACTAACTTTTGATGATATTTAATAAGGTGATGTACTAACAATAGTGCTTTTCCTTTAGATTTCTTCACCTTTCGTTTTCAAGCTGTTGCTGCATAGACCTTTCTTTAGGTATGTAGAAGAAATGAGCATTGGGTTGTTTAATGGAAAATAAATGCCGGTTATACAGATGAAAATCCAATTCGGGATAATTTAAAAAAAAAAAAAAATAACCCAGCCCTTTGGACCCAGTAGCTAGAAACACTCTCCTGCATAGCATTCATGGTGGCAGTTTCCAGGACCTGAAAGTTTGTCCAGTTTCAGTATCTAGGAGAGAAATTCAGCATTGGCATAGCAAGTATAACTTGAGTTGAAGTAAATAAAGAATTGATGTCTCTGCTGCAGGTTGACCATCTCTGGGATAAGTTGGGTATCTCTTGTATTAAGCGCAGGGTCTTACAGAGAAGTATGTCTGATGTGGTAGAAAGGGGAAGAGGGGGGCAGTTGCAAGGTAAACCAAAGTAATTTCATATATTTTTAAAACGGTTGTACAGCATCCATGCTTCTGCAGGTGGTTTAATTTGCTGGCAGGTAATAGACATACAGTACACTCGAGTATTGATGTTTTTATGCTACTGATCATTGTGATACTAGGAAGGTTGGATTTATAGGGCTAATGGAACTATGTTTTCCTAATTTTACAATAAAATTCTATGAGTAACAAAAACAAATTACTTTTGTTTTTATTTTAGTTTGCCAGTTTTGCAGATTCCTACTCCACGATGTCATGCTAATTAGCAGTATTAGCTACTAGTCAGCGTTTTAGCAGCCAATAAATTTGTCATGCATTGGCAGAATTTGTACCTGGTAAAATAATGAACACAATAATATGTAAATAATTACTTTAAATCAGTGATTCTAGTTGATTACTTAATTTGCTTCAAAGGAAACTTCTGGCTTTCAGAGGTTCAAAATAGGGGCTTATTTAAAAAGCAGTAAGGGTTTTGATTCAAATACTTGCATCGCGTCTTCATTTCTTTATTTCTCAGGTGTGCAATACTTATGTTTCAAAGAGAATTTGCTCTCCGTTTGGTGGCAAAACCAGGGAGTAAACTATACTGCAGACTCTCTATTAACACACAACTGTTAGCCCGTGTGGATCATCTAATGAAAGTAAGCCCTTTTATAATTTCACTATAGATTCTTAGATGTTCAGGTTAAAGATTGGAGAGGGTTTTGTTGCTTGCATTTTAAATCACGTAGGCGTTTACTTGCTACTGTTTGTGACTTACTTTCACATTTTTCATGGTTTCACAGGTTGGAAAGAACAATTTCAGGCCTCCACCCAAAGTTGAATCCAGTGTTGTCAGGATAGAGCCAAAGAACCCTCCACCCCCTATCAACTTTCAGGTCAGTTTTGTTATTTAACCTATCTTCAGAATGTTGTATACACTTGTTTCCGGTAAATTTTTGTCATACAAATAAGTATTCACTGATGTCAAATCTCTGTCCCTTTTCTTCTTGATCTGGCTTCTCTGTCTCTTTCCATCATTGAACTGCTTAGTGAGGCTTCCAATTAAACTCTGTTTAAAACCTTTTTTTTTCAAGACTGACAATTTTCTGGCCAGCAGAAAGCGGTCAGGGGAAAATACCTGTCTCCTTCCCTAGCTGTTTTCAGCTGACCTCAACATGCACAAAAGGGATTTTGGTTACTGAAGCCATATGTTTGGGAGCAAAGAAGAATCTCTTGGAACCTTTAAAACTGTGCACCATCACTTAAAGATCAGAAGACAGATTTCCAGGGGAATATTGCAGTTGGTTCTCAGGATGTTGTTTTCCTATCCAAAACTTGCTATTATAGCCATGCCCACATTTAACCAAATGTTTTTCAGCCAGAAGATTGCCTTCTCCTCTGAACATTCTGGGATCTGGATGATTGCTCTGTCAGCACATGGATATTTGCTTGCAAGTTTTTGGGGTTTTTTTTTTTTACCAACAGACTTTTTGGCTTCTCAGTCCTTATTGTTAGTCTCTTACTAACTCTTAATGTTTACCTCTTCTTCAGTGTTGTTGTGAAGCTAGTGATAGCCAGTCTAGTGTTTTATCTGAATTCACTTCTTGCAGCTATATATTGCTTAAGGCCAATATGGTCTATTTTGTGTTTCAGGAATGGGATGGTCTAGTAAGGATAGCCTTTGTAAGGAAAAACAAGACGCTCTCTGCAGCATTTAAGTAAGTTATTTCTGTTTGAAGCACTTTGCACAGTTAAATAATTTACCCAGTAATTAGTTTCTCCTGTGCAAGTATCTAGCCTAATTCTGCAGCAAGCCAGGTTTATATTATCAGGACATTTAGGGACTCTCATACTGCAGAGTTGGAATTGTATAGGGAAACACTTTGGGTGCACCTGTACAGGTTACACAGCATCGATCCATATCATATTGGCACTGATTAAAAGGAAATTTAACATTATCAGCAATTGGCATTTTTGGGCTGATGTGGCCAGTAATGTTGCCAGTAAATGCTGCGTGCATGCGCACAGCTGCAGCATGCATACAACCAGGAGTGCAGCATTCTGCCTGGTAAGTCTGTTGGGGGGCAGATTGAGGCCCCCATGGTGAGGGCGGGAGTGGGGCAGGGGCAGGCACTGCCTGGATGGGATGGGGCAGGGTGTGGGACGGAGCCATGAGCAGCTTGTCCAGGGGGCCGGCTCCTGCACGTATCCCCGAGCACAGTCCCATCCCCAGCCCCGAGCATGCAGCAGCAGCCCACCCGCACCCCATGCACAAATCTGTGGGGCACATGCCCCCATGCCTCTGCTGGGGGCGTGCGCAGTGGCCAGAGACACCCCCTCCCCCAGACAAGCTGCTCACAGCTCTGTCCTCTTCCCTGCCCTGGCTCAGCAGCCCCAGCCCCGCTCCATCCCTCACCATGGCAGCTTTAACTTGGCCTTCCCCCAACAATCTTACCAGCCAGATGCTTCTCTCCAAGCTGCATATTGGCAAATGGATCGGTATCGGCTAATTATGGATTCTTAATAATCAGCCATCAGTATCAGCCCAAAAAATATTTAACGGTACACCCTTAGTAACCTGTATATAAGAGAACCACCACAGTCTAGTCAGTACAGCTAATTATACCTTTACAGTGAAGAATAATCAACAGCCACTTGGGTCACAAAAGAAAAATTGTCTTTTGGACAGTGGGGAGGAATTGTTTTATGTGTTTTAAAGTGGGTTTTGGTTGAGACTCACTATATTACCTTTGTTGCATCTTTTAGATCAAGTGCCGTGGAGCAGCTGCTGGATCATAATTACCGAATTCACTGTTCTGTTCATAACACTGTGAGTTTATTTTGCTTTTTAATGTTTTAAATGCAACTTGCATGCCATGTGTGTTTTAAGTACTAGACAGTATATAAATGGAGCTTCAATGTGTTTGAGGGATACAAAAAGCCTTTCATCTAAAGTTACAATTTCTCACAAAAAATACTACCGGATATTCTAAAAGTGCTCACTGGGTTTTTGTTTTGGCTTTTTTCAAACAATATCTGGATTATTAAAAGGAGTGAAGACTTAAATGAGTATTTCAGAAAATGAAGAGACATTGAGATTTGGTTGTTGATGCCCTAAGTCAGGGGTTGGCAAAATGTGGCCCATGGGCCTGATGCGACCCGCCAGGCCATTCTATCCATCCCACAGGACTCCTAAAAAATTTAGAAAGTTAATATTCATCTGCCCCTGGCTCCATGTCATGCGGCCCTCGATGGCTTGCCAAGACTCAGTAAGTGGCCCTCCGGCTGAAATAATTGCCCGCCCCTGCCCTAAGTAGTGATCAACAGGGGTGTGTAATTTACTATGCCTAACTAGACAAGATTATTTAAAATGCCTATAGTGAGTCATCTAAATAAATCTTAAACTGTTTACAAAAAATTAAAAAACACCTGAGAATGTGTTGATCAGTAAACAAGTTATCTTGGAATCATGAGCACATCGGAGAAGGAACTGCTTGGACTAATTTTGACCCCCAACCTTCCTCTATTATGGTACAGTCTATTTATGAATGGGCTGCTTCTTGGTGCTTAACAACAATTTTTTCAGAGTATAGGTAAATTTATTTTACCATTTTGTTTTTCACTGTGCTGTCCAGTTCTCTGGTCTTCCTAAACTGGATGCTGCTGCATCGCAGTCTCCGTTTACTATTGATGCACAATTAAAAAATTCTTAACCTCACCCCACATCTATACATAAAAAGACAAATGGCCTCCTAAATATGAAGCTATACAGCCTAAATTGGCTAGAAAAGCTACTGTATTGTGTTTTATCCTGAATCTCATCTTCCATAAATTATTTGGACAAGAGTGTAATTTTAGGGGTGTAGTTCTTCATAACTGGAGAACTATCCAATCTAATATTCACTGTTTTAGTTCTAGGTTTTTTGGTGGTTAAGTGTCCTGTTTCTGGATCAATTTAGTCTAACTTTTAAGTATTTTTAATCTACTTGCAGTATATCTGAGTAGCTTTATTATAATCTTTTTCTTGGCTCAGCTGATGGAGTGTATGAACTGAAGCTGGAATACATAGTATAAAATGACAGATTTTGTGTTATGGATTCTGCAAATTCATTTTTCTATATTAAACTTTGTGAGCTTTACCTTTTATACATTGTCCTAAACAGAACTAAGACCTGTTTTTAAATCCAAATGAAGTGCTACTTAAATATTATATGGACCTTTGCTTGTTTAGGGGACAGGCAGCCTCAGGTTTTTTGTTAAGACAATATTGGGAAGTAATTGTTTGTCCTACTAGCTGAGAGTAAATCGAGCTGATTAAGTCTTGCTGGGACTACAGTGTCATATGCCAAAGCATGCAGGAACTAGCATCAGTGCTATGTTACTATAAGTATATTCTTTTAAAATGCATTGAAATTACTTTTCCATATTTGATACTGTTTAATCATATGCTGAATCAACATAGTAGTCAGTGAACCGTTTGTGATTTCTGAAAACCTCAGCAGGTATGTTATGTGACTTTTTTAAACTGAAACGATTATCTAGTTTTGTGCTTGCATCTGTATGCTAGACTAGACATGCACACATGCATAAGGGGAAAATAGATTTTATTGTAGTTCAGTAGTCCTAGGTGCTGCATGAACTGAGAATGAGAAACAGTAACTATGCCAAATATATGCCCTGACAAAGAAATGTCAACCTGTTTTTCACTTGCAGATGTAAACCTGCAAATGCTCGATGCTTAGAAATGTGAATGTTTACAAAGGAAACTATTTTATGTACCATTAATGCTAAAGAAATAACTAATGTGTATTGTATCTTACACTGACAGGAAATACCAGAAAACTTTAAAATAGCAGAGAAAATACAGACGGTTCTAAAAAACACAGGCTACTCTGAAAAACGGGCTCGATCAATGGATATAGATGACTTTATTAGGTAAGCCTGTTCTCTGTCCCTTCCTGTCAAGATTCTTATATGTTATCTGAGCTCAAGCAACATTGAAGTGATTACCAACACTTTCCACTCTATGACATTGCACATCATCTTTGAAGAGAGATGATGATCTAGAGAAAGCAGCACCTTAGTAATTATAGTACAGTCTTAACATGAGAGAGCCTAGAGAGCTTTAAGAACCAGTGATTAATTCACTGACACATTTAGAATCCCCACTTTTTGGTACAGAAGACTTAAATCAGTTGCAAACTTTTCCTGGACTGCTAGCAGTTAAACTGTGCTGCATCATTAGTAAACTCATTTTCCTTTGGTTCCTGTTGTCTCAGGTTTTCATCTGGAGCTCTAGTTACACATCTTTAAATAACTGTTCTACCAACTTTATGTAATTTCTGTTGAAAAAAAGAGTTTTGATTCAAATGTTTTCTATTCCCATAGCCTGCAAGTGGCATCATACTAGATAGAGGTTTATCAGAATAAAGAGAGAATTCTGATTTTTTTCCCCTTCCCTTGCCTCCCCATGAAGAAACAAGTATTTCATATAGAGACTGCTGTTTTTCAGACTTGTAATTAAGTTCAACGTTCACTCTCTACCCACTTTTACTCTGACATGGTAGTCATCTGAACTGACTTCAAAATTGTCTTGTCACACAGCTCTTTGTTTACCTTAATTTTCACTGTCACTGGTGTCATATACTTTTCTTCCCCCTCTTTCATGATTTTCAAGCATTCAACCAAAAATTCTGCGATGGGAGCTGTCATCCTTATTTTCTTGTTGTTAGTATTCAAATTTGTGGCAGTAGAAATCCAGTCTTGTAGACCAATATAATATACTCAGCTGTTGCTTGCAATACATTCTATATCCATTTACCATTCATTGTTTTCTGCAAGCAGTTATTTTTTGAGGCCATTAGAAAATTCATGTAGCTTCAGAATGTTTTAAATGGTGGGTCTTGTCTCCAGTGCTAACATTTCAAATGCTAAGCAGAGAAGAAATGGACTAGAACGCTTGAAGACATCAAAGAATGTCTTTCACATCCAGTTTGGTATATTTAGTTATTGTTTAGTTAGCCACATTTTCTGAACAGAATTTTCAGGTGGAGAAGAGCTACATTAAAGATAGTACTTCTCAACAGTGACTAGTCTACAACTCATCTAATTGTAAATTACTGGCTACTGGAACAGTGTCTGAAATCAACCACTTATTTGGATAGTGAAAGCCAAACTGGTAAGAAAAGTTAGTATAAATGTGTGACTGGACATGCCTCTTTAAATTGAGCACCTGATAAGAATCCTGTGCACAAATCTTGCAATTGCTTGGAATGACTGCCAATATATTTGAGACTTTTTTTTTTTCTTTATCTTGTTTGGAAGTGAATGATAAGTACGAATTAATGCACATTGTAATGAACTTCCCTTCATCTTCAGATTGTTGCATGGCTTCAATTCAGAAGGTATCCACTTTTCATAGATGACAGAACCTGGACCACTTTTACATTCTCCAAGAGGAATGGAAATGATTGTCTTGAGATGAATTCTTCCCATGAAAAAAATCCAGCAGTATACAAAATCCATTGTGAAACTGCGTTGTAGCTATTTGAAACAGGCTAGGAGCTCTTCTGTATTTTAAAGTTTGTAACTTCGGTCAAGACAAACTGTTTAAAACTTGGGACTTAACTGTACTCCACAGTGTGGATTTGCAACCATCACGTCAATCCAGCCTACTAGCTCTGAATCCAGACTTCATACTACCTTGCATACCACGTGATGTTCATAATGCAACTCAGGACTTGATTTTGGCTAATGGAGACTTATTTGGAGGCTGAAAGATGCTATCGCCATTCCTAAAACTTTTAAAAAATATATGTTTACTTTTTTCTGTACTTGGTTTCTTTTTTATGGTAGCTATCCCTAACCCTCCTCATAGTGATTAGCTTATACTAGGAATGGTATTTCTATTACATTTTCTTCTAGAAGCAGGGAGTAGAATGGATAGTACAAAGGTTTGAAATAAGTGTTTAGTTAAAACATGTTCAGAAGTTTAAAAGACCTATCTGTTACTACCAAAACTACGTGCCTAAGAAATTAAGAAACTGATATCACCACTTTTATGTAAAAAACGCTTAGCAGAAACTGGCCATTGAATCATAGGAAAATGTGGTTGGAAAGGATCTTGGGAGACAGTCTAGTTGAGGGGGTGGGTAGAGTCTGCCCTGTGGGCTGGATTGGGCCCATGGCAAACTCCATTTCCCAGTAGTACCTGCCCACATCACTATGGCTGGGTTCTATGGAAGCCCCAGCAGCAGCAGGAGCACAGCAGCTCAGATCCAGGGTTTCTGTGGAGCTCAGCCCCAGCAGTGCTGGCAGAGCATGCAGCTGGGCCTGGAGCTGCTTTTGGGCTGGGATCTTGCAGTAGTGACAATGCAGTCCGGAACTGGGACAGAGCTGCAATCCACTGCCCACTTGCCCCAGTTAGGGGCGTGCAGGCTGCTGGTTGTGACTCTGCCTTGGCTCAACTACGCTATCACAACAGCGAGATTCCAGCCCCAGAGGCCCTCCCTGACCAGCCATGTGTCCTGTCAGCACTGCTGGAGCCAGTCTCCATGGAAACCCTGGCCCCACACTGTCCCAGTGCCACTGCTGCTGAGGTCTCCATGGAACCTGGCCACAGCAACACAGGCAGGGGCAGCTGGGAAATGGAAGCTGGGCCCTAGCTTGATCCACCATTTTGTCCACCCTCTGGTTTAGTCTGACCTGTTGAAGGCAGGATTATTCCTTTCTAAACCACAGCAGACAAGCACGTGTTTAACCTACTCTTAGGCTACCTAGAGAGGTGATAGAATCTTCATCCTTGGAAGCTTATTTCAATGCTTAACCACCTTAGAGTGAGAATATTCTTCCTAAGGAAAGTTTCCCTTACTGCTTATCCTGTCCCCCATGGCCCCAGAAAGTAGACTACAGGTTTCCCTTGCCAACCATGGGGGTTAGATTCCTGAAAGTTTCTGTGGCTGGCAAAATCAGCAGGGCTGTGGGTGAGGGGCACCAGCAAAGCTGTGGGGACTGCCAGGAGAGTGAGAGGTATGAGCAGGGCTATGGGGAGTATGTTCCAACTGTACCCCCCTGCCCTTCTCTGAAGCATGGATACTCAAAACCATGGTTGGCAAGGGAATCCTGCATCTCCCTCTTCTATAAAAGTAGCTGCAGGGTGGTGAAAGGCTGATAACAGCCTTTTTTGTATAGAGTATCCCTTCACGCTGTTTAGCTTTGCAATTCTTAAGACTCGAGTTGTTCATGCTCTCAGGCATAAAGGTAAATTCCAGCCTATTAGTGGTGGTTGTTTTTCTCTTGTGAGTTCTCCATGTACTGGGTGAACCACCAGAGGCAAGTTCTTCAGCAAGACAAGAGTAAAGAAGTATATTCACAGCAAGTCTCGTAGGGCCACCAACACTACTGAGTCTTCACAGGAAAGCCAGACTGAAAAGAAATACTGGAAAAAGTCTCAGCTAATAACCAGAACTAAATATGGGTGAATGGCCTCATATTTTCAACGTTAATTGCAAGTAGGAAAACAAAATGATCAAAGCTGTAGATTAAGTACATGCTTTCTGTCTAGAAGGAAGAAATAAGGGTTGTTATCTTGAAATAGGATCTGTTCCTCAGTCTAACGGGAAGTCTTGAATTAGTTTATGGGTATAAAAGAAATCTTGCCAAAGGAAAACATGAATTTAATGGAACAACAGCCTTCAGCCACTATCAACTTAAATCTAAGAGATGCTGGAGTATCAAGGTTAGTCTCGTTGACAAGTGAAAGCATGATTTGCCCTTCTCTCTCTCTAGCAAGCTCTATACTGAAAGAGCTTGCAATGCAGTATAATTGGAGAGTCATTTATGTAAGGAGAGAATTTTCAAGCTAACAGTGCTAATTTATGCCTTGACATTTATTCCCCATCATTTTAGGCCCTTTTTGTTTGCAAAAAGTACACTGGCTACTTTCCCTAGTGAATGCTGTGATGGCTGCGTGAGTCTGCAGCCAGACAGTTTAGAACAATAGCAGTGAGAAGCAGATGGCCTCATCTAGGTACTGATTGAAATGCCAGTGACGATATTGAAGATGTTAAGGAAAAGTGCAAATGTTAAGTCTACACAGTTTATGCATCTGCCAAAGAAAGGTGTGCACCTGCTTTCAGTTCCCTTAAGAATAATTAATATTATTGTGAAGACCTACTGTCTAAGCTTTTCTTATTAAACATTACTGCAACAATGTAGTTGGCTGTTAAAAGTCAACATGCCATAACTTAAGGACCTACTTAAATTGAAATTTTGGTGAAATCAGGTTATCTGTTCAAGATCTGGAGTGGGGCATGGGGGGAGACTTACTAAAAATAAAGTGTTGGCTGCACAGTGGAAGCTAGCAGTCCTTCCAGCTGCGCAGCCTGGCAAAGAAGGGGCTGCTAGCATGAAGGGGAGCAGGCAAGATGGCTGCTGCCCTCATCAGCTCAGGTTGCCTGTTATCCAGCCCTGCCCCTTTCCAATCAGTGGCAAGGAGTGGGGGCACAGGACTGATAGCCCTCAGCCAGTCAGTGCTGGGCAGCAGGGTGCTGTGGCCAATCAGAGGTGTGTGTGGGGCAGGGGTGGGGGATGCCCACCATAAGCCCATGAAAAGGGCAGCCAGCTCTGATCTGTCTGCAAAATTGGTTGGCTGCTGCCCCGAGTTGGGTAGATACCCTAGCCATAACCAATGGCACAGAACCACTGAAGGGGAAGGTTGAGAATTATACAGGTTTCCCTCACCAACCACGGTTTTGAGTATCCACACTTCAGAGAAGGGGGGATACAACTGGAAAATACCCACCCCCCATGGCACTGCTCATGCCTCTCACTCCCCCCACACCATCCCACTGGTGCCCCTCACCACCCACCTGCAGCCTTTGCTCCCCCAGCCCTGCTGGTCTTGCCAACCACAGGAACTTTCAGGAACCTAACCCCCACAGTTGGCAAGGGAAACCTGTAATTACACATACCAGCTTCCAGAGTTATAGCCTGGGCACATATTCTAAACCAGCTGTTTTCAACCTTTTTTAATTTGCAGAACACTAAAAAAAAGTTGAATGAAGATGTAAACCCTTTTGGAAATTCTGAATGGAGGTGTGAACCCCTTTGAATTCTAAGTGTGGGTATTTACATACTTTTGGTTGATCATAGTCATCTTTCATAAACTCTTAGACAAAGTCTGCAGACCCCCAGTGGTTTATGGGCCACCGGTTGAAAACCACTGCCCTAGACCATTTGAGAGAAAACAAAGCCACAGCAAGACATAAAAAATATATTTGTTTTTCCCTTTAAGAATCAAGTGTACACATCTCCAAGCCCAGCCTTATGGCTCCCATTTGTAGAGACCAGTAGAAACAGCAGGATTTCGCTTCTTAGTAAGATCTGCACCCATTCTTGGGGCTTGCATGAGTGACACTATAGAACTGATCCCTGCATCTGTGGTATATTTTATCTTCTAAAACTTCCGAATTGACATACATGAAAATGGTCTTGTACACCATCTACTAGCACAGGCATGTGTATGCTGCAACAGTCTGCTATATTGGACAGCAAGTCACGTTCATAAAATTATGCTCCTTCCTTTTTAGTAAGTAGAGCTTTCTCATACCAAAAAAACCAATAATAATAATGCTTCTGCACCAATACAAACTCAGCTGTGATGTCAGTAAAAGGTCAGGGGCTGTAACAAGCATCAGTAGATACAAAACACCTAGTTGGGAATTACCTTTATAAACAATTCTGATGACACTGAAAACAGAAAAATAGATCCATTATTGGGAAACTGTAAAAATCTGGGTAAATTTATAATCCATCGTATCGGTGTCCTTTTCAAGTCTGGGCATACAGATTTATCACTTTCACATTTAAACTATTTGTACATGTGCTCATGAAAACTGAGCTCTGTAAACAGTTATCATTACTTGTGCAAAAATGCTTTAGAAGCTGATAATGCATTGCACACAATGCACCAGAGGTTTTTAGAGCATTTTACAGAGGCATGTTTTATTAGACTCATTTTACAGGACAAACTTGGAAGTTGATTTGTTAAATCAACCCAGCATCCTTGCTTTCTTGAAGCCTAAAGCACAAATCTTCCACATAATATATTGCTCCCTTTAAAGTAGAGCTACATTTAGCCTTGATGTCCAATCATTCTAACTAACAGTAAGCACTTTTGACTTATAGATAGTACGGGGCTAATGGCGCAAAAAAATGTATCAATAGAGCAGCTGGTTTTATCAAATTTGTCTCTTATTGATGGACAGCGTTTTTACATGAACACCATGAAAGATGCTTCAACACAGCCGTTTCAGAACTGAAGTCAGTGAAATGCTTGGGAATGGTTTCATATGATACAAGCCTGCACAGAACAGTCATTGGCATGAACGCGCACACACATTCTAGCACCACATGCCTTTTAAAAATACATTTTTAGATGGTAAAATTCAGATGCGTTTACAAAGCAAATGTGCCTTGCATAGAAGTAAATTCTCGTCTCTAATTTATGTTTCAGAGTTTAATTTATTAAACACATTGTGTAAAATCTACATTGCTGTTTCAGCTTTCATGTTTACACATAGGAGCTTTTTACCATGATGCAACAAGAGCTTCCCATAGTCTACACCTTCCTATGGGAGATACAGACATCAAAACACTAAGATAATCTCTGGCTCATTTAGCTCTCTTTTCATTGCCTTCCCTTTATTTCCCTTCAGCCTCTGCACAAATGGGCTTGTGTTCCAAAAGGTTTTAAGCAGTTCTAAGGGACAGCCGGCTGATACGAACTCCTGGAATCTGTCCTGGAAACAGGGAGAACTCCTAGAGAGGTCTACAAGTCTTCATCTGACAAAGTTCTTACAGAAATGGGCAATTTTTCTTTTAGATATTGACTTGCAAAAAAACTCAAATGTCACTACTTAAAAAAGAACCGATACACATGGCGCCATTTGTGAGATTTCAGGTACTGGTGAGATTTCTATATCACTAAGTAGAGGTATTGTGCAAATCCTCAAATGATGCAAATCCACCCACTTTTCAGCTGCTGGCACTGTACAAAGGGAAAAATAGGTATTAGCTACTTTTTTTTAAAGCAATAGTACTACTCAAAACTACCTGCAAACTACAGTTAATGTACATGGACATTATCATGCATCAGAAGCCAATTTTCTAACAGTATGTGAAAAGGTACTCATGTATGCCCTTACCTGGATCCCTGCACTTTTATACTCGTCCTACCCATAGGGACCAGATTGCACCTTTATTCTGACAGCATTATCACAAAAGTACACATACTGTATATCCATATTTCCCTAAGATACAACTCTCCTCGATACTTAAATGTTACTTTTTATTATACATCAACTAATTTATAGGTTTTTTCTTTACAAAGAAATTGACAGTTATATAACCACTCGGTATGGGAGTCAAATGATTCCAGCGTCCAGATTTTTTTTCTTTTTCTTTTTTTTTTTAAATAAGGAGAATGGAACATCCAGCTGTCTGTCCACTCTAACAGCTCTTTTAGTTCCTGTTCAATGATATGGCACATCCTGTGAAATGAACTAGTCACCAGAAACACATTAAAAATGTACACACACTAAAAGCAATTTACATTGACAAATAAGGAATGTTGTTTATTAAGGCTGTGCTTCAGAAAGAGAAGGTTTAGGATCAAGTAGCCTTCATCAAGGCACAGAATGGGGAGAGGTAAGCACAGCTGTCTCTAGAAGAGCAGTTATGTACAATCACTGATGAGGTGTGCATGCAAGCAAACAACTGAGAACTGCACAGCTGGGCCTTGTAACAAAACTGAACAGATTTAAAAGGAAATACTGTGAAGATTTTCAAGTCCACAGTTTTACTTCATTATCAAAAAATGGCAAAGATTTCCAAAACAAAGATTCACAATTTGAATAAATGAACTATTTTAAACAAAGTGCTTCACAGATCCGAACCCTGCATGGTTGTGCTGTCTGGTCTAGAAGCATTTTGTAGACATCATAGGAGTGTTTCACACAAAACTGAAAATGTCATCGGGGTGAAGAAGAAACAGGACATTTCCACAGACATTTCAAAAGTTTTTACACTTTCAAGTAGTTGAGTTCTTACAGCCACCGTTTCATTACAACTGTATGCTACAGCAGTAAGGGTTCAGGGGAGCCTTTAGCAGCAGAGGCCCATTTCAAAGGGCACGCGGTCTCTTCGGATTGATCTGTTTACTGGCCTGTTCCTCCTCTTGTAGAGCTGCCCGGAAAGATTTCACTTTATCTTTAAAAAAAGAAAAACAAAACAATGCTTGTGCTCAGTGCATGTCTCATAGCTAGGCCTTGAGAACACAAGTCTCTGTACAAAGCCCAAACAGCGCAAGGTCACTGCACTCCACCACATAAAGCAGAGACTGAACACAGAAAAGGAATCGGAAAGAGAACAGACTATGCCACGCACAGAAGATACAAGTGAAATGTTCTCCAAATGGCTTAGCAACTCATTCCCTTCTTAGACTTCAATCCTATTTGTAGGTATAAGAAACTTGGAAGCAGCAAAGTAGCAGTCTCAGTGGAGTGTTTGCTTCCCACTTAACCATCACCTAACACGTGCACGCACCTCCTTGCATTCGCTTCCTCCACATGGCCTCTGTATAGCATGAAGCCTGTGATATGTTTGTATATATTAATACAGCTTCCAAAAGCATTTGTAAAAACATCTAATACTGGGATTTGACAGCGTTCTTCCTCCTGGAGTAACTACTTCCAAATACAAGGAATGTCTCTGAGAGCCCCTTTCCAAAATGCAGAGACTGATTTTTGTCACTAGAGCTGCACAGTACAGTGAAAATTCCTTTACAATTACTTATTTCATTGTAAATTTGAAGACAATTAAAGAGCACAGAGAAAGAAAAGGGCTAGGGAAGAAACAGAAAGCTGCCCAAGGACAATTCTGTTTGCTATGGTCTTAGTTTCTTCTGCCCTCCAACAAACTCCACAGACAGTTACGCAGCTCCATCTACCCAAAAGAAAGGAGGTAAAAGGATGAAGTTGGGGCCAATAAGGAGAGACCAGTTCCAAAAAATCAAGCAGCAATACATTACCAAGAAGAGTTGACTGAATATTCTAATACCCTCCAAGCAGGAGGAAGAAAGACTCCAAAAATTAAATGGGCAATGTCAAGCCTCTTGACTATAAGCCCTTTTCCCCAACCAACAAAGAATACACAAGTATATCAAGATCTATGAATGGAGATAAGAGTGTATTCCTGCATAGCTCCACTTGCAGTACCTTATTTCAAAGGCAGCCTGTAACTATTTTCGAAGAACAGGAAATAGCTAAGTAGCATTTTACCACAGCTACATGTCTTCTTCCAAGCAATCCTTTTTTTGAATAAGCACAGAAAGTACATCAGCTTTTTTTCCTGAGGCACGCCTAAACCAGCATACAGTTTTGGAGCATGCCGACATGGTTCCCAGGCTACATCTAACTTGTGGGTATAGTTTGTGGAACATGCAGACTGTACAGGATTTGAACCTTCGCTTTCTAATGTCATGGTTGCAAAGAATCCCCACCCGCCAACTGTTACTGAAGTAGTGATATCTGTCCGAGTCCAAAGATAACCAGAATCAACAATTCAGAGGTGTGAGATCACCCACAGCAATTAATCTCAGTGAAATAGCAAGGAAAAGCCAATTCTGGCAATAGTCTTTAATCCTACTTGACTGAAGAACAGCACCTGACAGACGCGCACAATATGCAGACTGTTAAAGAAGAGGACATGCTGGTAGCCACAACTGTGGTGGTAACCATGAACCATGCTGTTTGGAGCTGGATCTAGTTCCAAGTTCCAGCAGGCAGACAGCCAAACAGGAAGCTCTCTCCCCAGCTCCTGTTACGGAGCCAGGAAATGATACAGGGGGCAAGAGTTAACTACTTATTCCTTGCTCATCTACTTTCTGTTTTTCTTCAGTTCCGCTGTGAATGTGCTTGTCTCCTGCCTTTGTTATTTTGCAAGATGCAAATGTTTTGTTTGTTATATCTTTTAGTGGACCAACTGCAAAACTGAGAAAGATGCCAGACAAGTTTTAAGGAAAGAAGTAGGACCTGCCTAAGCTAAATATTACATAAACCAACTTCTGCTTAAACCCCTTATGCAACTGAAACAGCCACTTAAATAGAAGAGGGCTGTAAACTTGCAGAGTACAGGGTAGGCACCAGGTAAACTGTAATGAGCCATAAAAATCACTGTCTCTAGCTTTTATTGTCCATCCAGTTATAGATTTTTGCCCCCAGGCCTTCTGGGGGGTGTTTTGGAGGTTTCCTTGAGTACAAGGACTATGAGATCAAAAATGGAGTGGCCATTCTGTAAAGTGGTCTCCAGCTGATGATCGGGTGCTTCTGTCTTTTATCAGTCTTCCGTGAGTTCATTCTCAAGCATAGTGGGTGTTTAGTTTCCAGGGTAGCATCTGGCTGTACCTGTTTTTCCCCCCTCAAATCTCTGCACCTGCAAGCTTATCTGACACCTCTCCCTGCAATACAGTTGGTCCAAGAAAAAAAATATTACCAAAATAACCCTTTACTTCTTGACCGTTCCCAGGACCATAACAACTACACCACTCCAACCCTAGTAACTTTGTTCTTTTGCAGAAGCTGTAAGAGAAGAGAAGCTAGAGGACCAAGCATAATAGCTCCATCCTTCCAGAACAAAGGAGAAAGAGGTAGTAAGCTGCATTAGCCTGATCATCAGGATGACATGCAGGGCATGGTGGCACCTTAGACACTACCTGTTTCACAGAGGCATAAGCAGCTGTCACTTATGAAAAATTATACCTTTCAGAACAAAGGAGGCAAAGGGGAGGTTTTTTCCCCTTATACTGATATAGACTGAATGTATGTGCACATTTGCTCTTAGGAAATGGAGTGGTACTGTTTTCCACATGGAATCTGGGCTACAAGATGGATGAAGAGAGACAAGACAGTGTTAAAGCTGCTGCTCATTATTAAAGATATTCATTTGATGCATAAAAACAAATCACCAGTAACACACACAAATGACCAAAACCAGTCTACCTCGGAGTTCAGTCAGAATGTCAATTTTTTGTTCTAGAATTGCTTCAAGTTGTGTAGCATAGGAATCCACATCATAGTCTACTTCTTCAGTCATCTCTAGAAGGGCTTTTTCATCTTCTAACCATCTTATAGATTCCTATGAACACGAGAGAGGCAAAAATGACTCAATATATCACCAAACAGCAGATGTGAATTTACAGTCATTCCTGCTTTTCCTACAGCTTTTCTTAGACAAACATTTATTAATCTACATTGTAAAACATCCAAGTATTAATTCCTGCTCCCGTATGGCAAAACTACAGGTTCTTATAAATTTTAATCATTGATTCCTTAATTCCAGTGGCTGTCATTTGTCAACAATGCAGCAAGAATAGCAGTCTCTATTCTCAAGTGTTGAAAAGGGACCTTATGTCAGGTTGGAAAAGGGGAAGAGGATGGGGGGAAGAGAGATTTGCTGACCAACTGGAAGCTGCCTGTTTTCCTGGGAGATCCTGCTGCAGCCGTTTTCAGAACAGGTACTCCAGTTGGAAACATCTTAGCTTCTTAGTTAAAGCTACTAATGGAGTGATCTGTGTGTTTGGCCTGCAAATCAGAATTACATCTTTCCCTATCCTCTTATTATGTCACCAGTAGCCCATCTTAACAATGAAGGCACACTGCCAGCCTATCTATTTTCTTAAGATTCTGGTTTGGGAGGAGGAGACAGACAAATAATAAAACTTTCAGAAAAACAAAAAAAGTGAGTTGGGGTCTTACAGCCCGTTTTCCAAAGCAACTTTGGCCCTTGCAAGCCTAGTTTCCACTGAAAGCCAATGCACTTAGTCTCCCAAATGGTTTTCTTGCATTTGAAAATACAGCATAGAGATCTTTGAAATTTTACTCAAAAGCCCGTAGTTAAGGCTCCAGATAAAGTTATCTGTTGTGACTGACAAAAACATTTTTATCAGACAGTTGGCACCTATTTAATTTGTATGGGCAGGACAAAATGAAGGTCCCCATCTGCTTTAGAATCTGCTATTAAAATCTTACTTTCTGTACACGTTAAATTACATATTTATAAACACAGTACAACTTAATTACAACAAACACCCATGGGAAACAGAGAAAAGTTTGTTCAAAAAGGGTGATTGCTATGATAAGATTAGTCAATTTGTTGTATCATAACAAAAAATGGTTCTTGCTACTGAGACCGTTAAAAGCAGGGAGTGTTTTTATAAATGGGGCTTGTTGTAACAAGGTTGTATTGTACTTCATGTTTCAATAGCCATAAGGAATATTCTAATCAGATAAATCCATAAAAGAATATCTTAAAAAAAGAATTTTAAAATACTGTTTTCCCCAGCAAGTTTAGTAGACTGGCCACCATTTAAACATACACTTCGTAATTTTCTTTGTAAAAAAATAGAGTATACAAAGCTTTTTAATGCAAGTTTATACTTTGGGGAAAAAAAAATCAGAGGTAACTTGTTACAGCATATATGCACAAGACTATGAACCAGTAGTTCTCAACCAGGATGCTTTGAAATCCTTTCAAGGTGCACCAGGGTGCCACACAGTGTTAGCACTGTTAGGTGTGCAAACACAGATTCACAAGATAAATCCAGAGATTCTGTCCTGCTGTGGTCTTTCTGAGTTCTCTGCAACAGAGGAGCTACTCAGTTTTTTGACGTCAAAAAATGAGTGAAAACTTAGAACTGACACTTTCCAAAGGGTGCCTTGAGACTACTGAGGAGTGCCTTGAATCTAAAAATGTAGAGAACCACTGCCATATACACACAATATACAACAGAAAAATAAAAAGGGATCACAACAAGTAAAAAGCCTTCATTCTTGTCAGGAAAAGATCTGCCATAGCAGAAAAAAACAGGAAAAAAGTGTAGAAAATTCAATTTATGTAATTAACGATAACACTGATACAACCTTACCTTGGCACAAATTTTCCACAATAAGCAGGGCCTTACCTAGTAGAGTTCATAGTGGAGATCATTGCCAAAAAAAAATCACAGCTCAGAAAGACAGCAATTAACATGAACCAGGACCCCCTGGTGATAAGGGATTCCTAGAAAAGGCAGTACCTTGTGACATGCAACTGAAAACAGATCCAACTGATTAAACTATCTGCAACATTAACTGCTTATAGTTTAAAACCATCTCTCTAAGTCTGCTCCTCTCCCTATGAAAAACTGCTGCAGCTACGCTTAAAAAACGTGCTGGTGGGGACATGGTTTACCAGAAGCTTTGGTCTTTAGATGTATACAGTCTTGAGCAGTCAAATTTCAAGCTCAAAATTGTGTAAGCTCCTTCCAACCCCAAACACAACATAAAAGTATGGCCAGAACCAAAGTTTCCTCAGTACTAAAAAAAATAAAGAAAAAAAATGTAGTAACTGTTCTGTGAATATAGAAAAAAAACTGAGTTTTGTAGATAATATATAGCAATAAGCTTCTTCACCCACTGAGTCAAAGAAGTTCATAGCTGAGCTGACGAACTTTATGCATGACTTCTGTCCTCAGCAGCTTGCCACAATGGCTTTGGTACTAGGATGGTTATTCTGAAATCTGAAAGTTTAAGTGCACTAAGACAATAACAGTACTTATGTCCCAAGAGTATGCATTTCTGTTTGGACCACATGAACCATCTGATCAGTACAAATGCATTGCAACATTCCATTTTACCTGGAAAACAGCCCTGTGATCTTCTACTACTTGCTCTTCCATTTCTACCATTTGTGACACAGCTTCATGGAAAGTAAACAACTGCGGAGAAACTTCCTCTTCCTAGAGCAGCGAAACAACAGCGAAGCTTGTTATTGAGTGAAGAATTTTGCTTAAAGAAAGTATGTTAAACATTTCTTGCTAAGGAAAAGCAAATACGCTGCAATCAGAACCTGTCGAAAGATCTACAGATACACAGTTTACAAGTACTGACACCCAAATAGACTCCAGAAACTGGGGGAAAGGTAGGAAAAAAGTTACAAATGAAATTTCGAGAAAAATGTTTAGTTCCATTAGGATATGTTTATATTTTCCAATCAGTTCTCCTATTGGGGAATAGAAGCCGAAAAGAAAATGCATCATTTCTATGCATTCAGTAAAAGATTAATATGATAAAGGGTGGGAAGGGGGAGGAGAACAATAGTTTTCAATACTAATGTGTTTTAACGCAGTGAATAATTAAAAAAAAATATTACCACAAATGCAGACTATAACTAGGATGTGGGAAAGGTCACACAAACAAAATTTGTACTTTATCAATAGCAAATTGTAAATTGATCCATGTTCTTTACCAATATAAATATTTAGTTGAACAGAACTGTTTGAAAGAACTCAAACATCAGTAAGAAATTTATCATTTGAAAGTACAAGCAAAAAAACCACAGGATTGTTAGCAAAATTCATTATCTTCTGGCATTGTTAAAACACACTTTTGGATGTGCATTTTGAAGACAACTCCAGCCACTACACTGAATTCAGCTGCACATCTGACACTTCTGATATACGTATAACCCACAAAAGGTGTTAATACACAAAGGGGTATATATATTTTGCAGTAAATGCCATTTATTTCCTAGTAAAATAACAGAATAATTGCTAAAAATTAAAACAACTCTCCCAAGTTCTTTAGCATCTCTCAGGAACCTAGAGGTTAATGAAATTAGGAAAAATAAACAGCAAAAGGATTAAACCAGGCCAGACAAACAATGGAGAGGACAGACGTACCTTCTGAAATATTTCAAAGTGTAATGGGGTTTGAAATGTATATAAAATGGATCATTTCAGCCACAGACAGGCCCTGCCAGAGCACTTCAATATGCCTGCACTAGTGGTGCTTTTCAGTTATGGACCATACATGATAGGAGGCTGCTCAGCCCTGTGGCTCCACTCCTCCTTCCAGCCCCAACTCAAGGGCCATGTCTACACAAGATGCTACTGCACAGTAGCATCAGAAAAAAAAACATGCAAGGAAGCTACTGTGAGTAACATGAGCTACTGCACAGTCATTTTAGTACTTGGCTATGCAAGTACTACATGAGTGTGCATTAACAACCATGTAGTCTGCTGCTCGTGTAGATGTGGCCGGGGTGGGGAGCAGAGCAGACAGTAAATGAGCGCTACCATTACCTCAGGTGCTGAGAGCACCTCACTGTGTTCCCAGTTCCCAATAGCCAGGGTGCCAGGACTGTTCATTGATAATTTCCTATTGCTGGAGACAGTGGGAGTGGGATGAGGGGAAGAGGAAAGAGTGCTGCATTGTGGGATGCCTGGAGGACCAATCAGCCTCTTGTCAATCTTACAGCATACAAATGTAACATGGAATGCTGCAAAATGCAACAGCAGAAAACAACACTGGCTTCCTCCTGGGTCACTTTGGTCACACACAGTGGTCATTTCTAGAGTTTGAATGGGGCACGTGCATCTGACACTTGCCTTCTGAAACATTTCAAAGGCATTTGTTACATCTGTCTACAGCCCAAAATTGTTTTATTCGCATTAGTAAGTAAATGGACAGGTGGGAAAGTAGAAAGTGTGACAGCTCTGCATTAAATGTTTTAATTATAGCCAGTTCCTATTAAAGCCTTCAGAATATATTGTTTTTTTAATGAACTAACTAAACTTTCAGCCACTTTGAAACAAAGAAAAAGTTCTGCACAAAAATGGCATTTAAATAGAGAACAGGGGGAGTAACAAAAAATCCTTAAACTTAATCCTATCGAGTATCTCTTAGAGATCTGGAAGAGAAGGAAAATGCTAATTAAATAAAAAAGGATACTGAGGTAGGAGATATAGCCAATGCTAGGGAGAACACTACAGAATCTTGAGAAAGTTCAAGCAGAAACCCACAGACTTCTCTCTCAGTGCATCCACCCTCATCCCTTCCACAAAGTGGGGTTTAATTTTCTCTCCGAGTTAAAGCAGCAGGTATGAGACCTGTCAATCAGCAGATAAGAGACCAACTACCCAGGAGTCTACTTCTGCTGTGTTCTTTACCAAATTCAGGTGTCCAAGTCAAGGGAGTCACTCCTGCCAGCACTGGCATGACCAGTTGCTGAAGACAGGCCAACAGGCATAGGCTGCCTCCTGGGAGAAGAAGGTACAGCACTACCTGGCCCAGTAAGGCTATAAGGCATAATTCTCAAAGCCCACAGCTTTTTGCCTCTACCTCAGGTGCAGGAGGACTACCAACAAGTCCTTTTACACTGAACAGACTTTTGTTGAAGAACACAGACCAGTCCTACCTAGGAGAAACATATATGTGCCAAATTAAACCTTGTCTACACTTAGAAATTTAGCAGAACAGCAATTCTGGAAAGCACTCCCCATTGTTTACAGCTGGCTCACTGAGCTAACAGCTACATTTCCATTAACTGGTAAAACTGGGGCAGAGAGTGAAACCAACAAAACAACCAAGTCTGCACAGAAGAGCTGGCATGCTAACCAATGAGTAAGCAATGATGCTTTTACCATGGAGGTCCACAGGGACAGCAAATGGCTAGTGCTACCTGTGCAAGAAAAAACACCTGCCTAGATTAGCCACAGGACTTACAATCCCCAGGTGGACAGCAAAGAGTGCCCACGTGAGGTCTTATGCTGTAGTAGTAATTGTAATTATTGTGAAATAGCTGTATTTAGCTAATTTACCAAACTAGTAAGTCCTTTGAATTATTTCAATTATTCTCTGTCTTTGAGCTAAAGAACAAATATAAGGGGTCTAGAAAATCCCTGTAACTACAAATAAGAGGCATACTGAGCTGGCTTGGTTTCTTGGAGAAACAGTCAAGCTCCAAATTCCCACTTCCAGCTGCAGACCAAAAAGGAAACCTAACTATAGAGAAACACAGGAATACATCAGAAAAAAACCTGCTAGAAAACCTTGGGAAAAGCCACTTGAAATCAATAATACATGAAAGGGAAATATTTAAACAAGTAACTTAGAACCCTAAAACTGGAGGGGAAAAAAAAAAAGAATAAGCTTCATACAATGCTGCTAGTTGCCTTATACGGAGATGAAGATGCATCAGATAGGGAAAAAAAAAAAACCTAGGCAAGAGGAACCAATAGATCTCCGAATAAAAGAAAGAGAGAACCAAGAGTTCTTTATCAATAAGAAAAAAAGAAAGTAAAAAAAGGCAAAATCTAAAACAAAATCTTTGGCAAAAGCTCATTTTAACTATAGGAAAAAGTTAATCAGCACCCTAAATCACAAGTTTTATTATCTTTAATGAAGTAGCTAGTAAACTTATAGGAATCTTTACCCAGGACCTCATCTACTGTTAATGCAAAATTATTTTGTATGAGTCTGTGAAAATACATAAGAAATTCTGGAAGGTACTCACATTTTGTTCACAAAGTAGTTTGAGATCATCTCTCTGAGGTGAGCTCCCTACACCCCACTGTGTCTCTAGATCATCAATCTGATTTGGAGCATGGTGTATGATTGGACGAATGTCTCCTGCAGCACTAGAATCCACTGTTAATTCCTTTACTCTATAATCAGAAAATAAGATTCCATATTTCAATTATATTATTCTATATCAAATGGCAAAAAACCCTTAATGCAATTTATACTTATACACAATTTTATTTATTTAGTTGATGATGTCAACTTTACAAACACAATGGGATTTTAATGACAAAAAGGGACCATTTTTGGTTCCTAGATGCTCTGACTTCCTATATAACATAATGTATAATTTCACGTACTATAAATCATGACCAATAACTTATCATTACCTTAAACTTTCTGAGACACCTACTCTTGATTTAAAAGTGGTGGTGTATCTAAAAAAACTCAACATTTTAACAAATAACCAACAATACTTACAAATTGCTAATTTAAAGACAGACAAAATGAACAAAATCAGACAAGTACATTTTTCTGCGTACATGTCATGGTAGATTTGTACCTTATAGACTAATTAAAAGGTATACCATATTTACTCAAATACAAGACAAGGTCCACCCCTCAGTTGGCATGGAGGAAAAAAAAAGCACATCATCTTACTTTCACATATGAGGAAACCTCATTAAATATACTATCAATAAACAAAGCAACATGTGCTCAGTAATGGAGCCCAAAGCAACATGTGCTCAGTAATGGAAACCAACTCTGAAGCTGATTAAACACTGAGCATGACTATAAAACTCATGGCCAAAATCGGGCAAACATACTATTGGGAATCTATGACACAGAAAAGCGAGCACAGACCATGTGAATAAGATAGATGGGAGTGCCCATTGTGCATAGCCCCTCTTAGAGCCGACCTTTTCTCCAAGTCATGGTGAGCCACTACACTGAATACATTTTTATTTCCTCTTCACTACCACAGCTGAGCTGTGCCTATCTTTCTCATTTCCAATTATTCCTGTTTCATCACCAGCCTTAAAAGTCTGCTAAACAACACCAAATGGGGCCCCAAACAGTTCACCCAGAATCCCTCTGTTCCCCCTCTCTCAGCCTATCATATAAGATTAGTGTGGTCCCACCTTCCCTGAGGTGAAGGCAGAGCAGGTGGTCCTATGCTTCATCCGTATATACATTTTTGGAGGATTTCAGGAGTCATGACAAGAACACCCATCATAAGTGGGGGACTAATTAATACATGGACCTTTTGTGGTGGAATATCTGGGGGACACTCACATACTGAGCAGTCCTGAACTGTGGGGTTATCATGGCTTGAAATGTTGTTAACTCTCCTGGGGCCCAGGCCAATGACCTATATGGTAAATCATGAGCCCTTTGGTTTTGGACTAATGCCATGTATAGAGTTTGTACTAAACATAAGCAGGTATAAAAGTGCTGCTTAAAAGTATGTTATGGGGATACCTGTGCTAAAACTTTCAACAGCTCCAAAAAAGGCAAACTGCATCAATTCTGGTTCAACTTATTCTATGGGTACCTGTAATAATGTGCTTTTATGTAAATTACTACCAGTATGTTTATTTCAAGGTCAGTGTTTTCAGATTTGCCCTTCATTTCCATGTGCTCAGGGAATGCAGGTTCTAAAGGCTGCCAGGGCAGGGCTGTCCCTGGGGCAGGGTGAATCAGGGGAACCTCCCTGGGCCCTGCACTTTGAGGATTCATATCTGGCCACTCAGCACCCCTGCCACCAAATCCACCACATCCAGCAACTCACCACCCCTCTCCCTCCCAAACCCCCCACCACCGAATCTCCCGCCAGCTTCCTCACGTCCGGGGCAGGGCCCACATACACTGATTTACCCCGGGCCCCACAGCCTGCTTGGATCGTCTCTGTGCATGAGGAACAAGTTGTGGTAAGCAGAGAACAAGGGGGCCAACCTGAACCCCCTAGATTTATGTTCCCTACTGTAGCAGTGAGGGGGACAAATTGAGGCAAACTTCTAAGAGTGTTAGATTCTACACCTGAAAGTTTATAACAAAAATTATAAACTTTCCTATATAAGATCTAATTATTGGGGGTCATAATTATATTCAGGGTCATCTTATATTCAAGTAAATATGGGGGATGTATGTATCTATATATAAGATCAGAAAAGTTTATGCTCATCTCAGATATAGATCTCTAAGATCTAGATACAATAGAAATGCATAAGCTTTTGTGAGCTAGTGCTCATGTCATTAAATGCGTTGAAAGGATGTGCACAGCGCCTTTTTTATTGTTTTATGGTAACAAATCTTCCAATATGTTTTTATTCACTGAATTATGGAATGGCAAAAAGGTCAAAATAAAATATAGATTTAAGACTGTATTACACTGGCGTTTACATTTTTTAGGTAATCATCAGATTCACTAAAATTATTCTGAACAGTCTTGTCAGAACCAATCCACTAAGTCTACAAAGATGACATCATCATTTTTATGTATGAGGGGAAATAAGCAAGCCCGGGTAACAAAATATACAAATGTTTAAAAAAGAAAATGAATTAAAATTGGGAAGATGATTGCAGACCATGCAGTATCATCACCTGTCAAACAGAATGAAAAATAAAGTATGTGATGACTCAAGGGGAGGGAAATAAGTGAAGATTTAATTTATAAAATTACAGTTCAACAAAAACACTTGAAAAAAAATTCCATGTAAAGAATGAAGTAGACCTGGTGATTGAAGGAGAAAAGTCGTCATACTCATAGGAAGGAGAGAGATCAGAGCGACTGCCACTACCCTGTGAGAAGGGAATATCCGAAGGACTAATTCCAAATTCCTTTACTCTGCAGCAGCAAGATACAGCAGCAAATTAAAAGAAAAGGTTCTTGTAAAGACAATGACAATTACAACTTTTCATTTAGCACTCTCCTCCATATTAAAACACACAAAAATAAAGCAGTCTGATTTAAAACTAACACACAATTATGAGAAGCAATGCAAGATATTCAGACCTTCTTCAAACTTGAATTGCAACCATATTTTTGAGAAAATTCAGTAAGCCAAAGTCTGATCTTTAGAGCAGTGTAAATCTAACAACTCCTGTCTGTAGTTGAGCTACGCTGGGCTTACGTTGGTATAACGAATAGAATTTGTCCCAAATTCAATAGTCCACTAAAGCACTACTTTCAAAATATCAAGTTACTGCAGCTATAATTATTTAAATAACATACTTCTTAGTTTTAAGTGCATCTTAAGCCATGAATACAGTATTGTACAGTCTGTGTATAACTTATAAATGACTTTTTGTGGAGGCTGATATGAAAATGGTATATTATGAAAAGGAAGTTGAGAGCTAAAATACTAAGGAGAACATAGGCTTTAAATACATGGACAAAATCTAAAAGTACTAAGTATCTACCAAACATCAGCATACAAAGACCATACTAGTTGGTATTTCTGCATCATATACAAAGCCTTCTTAAAAAGCAAGTCTAGATTCTAAAGGAAGCTTGTTGCAGACATTATTAAAACACAAATCATGCACATGCTTGCAGTGTATTTTTTTTCCACAGAATGTAACAGCATTACAGGGAACGGGGCTGTTTTCAGTTAGGCTGAATGTGGATGTTCCATTTCTACCAAAAGAAATTTCTTTCAGTAGACCAACAGCCAGGGACCTGAACTGCACAGACATTTCTCCAGCCCCAGCCTATAGATGGAGACCTCCAAAGCTGAGTTTTTTGGCAGCTGCTAAAAAGCAGTAGCTGCCAAAGACAGCTTGGGAAAGGTTCCAGCCATGGGAGAATGTCCTCTCCCTATCCATCAATCAGCTGATTGTGAGAAGGGGACACTGCCATGGTGGCAAACCTCCCCATTCTGCCCCGCTCCAGAACAGCCCTGCTCCTTGGGCTCATCTGGGCTGAACCAGAGGAGCTGTGGGAGAAGGGGAGCACTAAACTGCTCGGGTAAGGCACTGAGAGTTCTGTAGCAGGGGTGCAGCAGCCTGATTCACCCCAGGCTGCTCCGGGCTGACCCACAGCAGTGCAGGGCACCCAGCTCAGTTGGGTGGTGCAAGTGACAAGAGAAAGCCAGAGGGACCACAAGCTGGGCTTCCTCATGCCCTGCTCTTGACCCCTCCAGTTTTTAAATAGTCATCCCCACTGTTTACCTTAGCAGCATGAACAGTGATTTAAATGCTGGAGGGGCTAGAAGGACTCAGGGAAAGACCCCTGCAGCCCAGTCCTGCCAGCTTCCTCCTGGCCAACCAGCCAAGCAAGGAGAAACCAGAGGAAGTTGGCAAAGCCTGCCATCCAGGTATTGTCCAGTTTGCAGAAGAAGCAGGGAGTGGTGGTTGCTGTTCCCCATATCTCCCAATGCATGGGAAGCGTATTACCCCAGTGTCAGGAAGGCAAGGAACCCTTCCTCCAGCTCCACTCCTTCCAGTTCCCCAAAGGAGTTAAGCTGGGGGAAAGTGTGCAGAGTTCAGTCTCCCAGGAGTGATTTACCCTGGTTATTCCTAGATTATTTTTCTTCTAGAGCTGCCATTTTTGCTCTGGAAGAAAAAACCTTAACATCTGCACACTTGATTTCTATGGGAAGAAGAGTGATTCTCCAGGTAGAAACTGAGCATTGGTATGTAGCCTTAATATTTTAAGAGTTTTGAAATCACACAATCAAACTGATTCATTATGAAAAAATAAAGATACTAAAGGATATTGCTGAATATCGATTTCAGAGGTCTTGTTCCAACATTAATATAAACTAACGTCACTATTCGCAGGTGTGGTTTCAAATATTCAGCATTTGTGGTTTCAAATATTCGCAAATGTCGAACCCGCATCTTAAATACACTTGAAGGAGCTCCTCGGGAGCTTCACACTTGCCACCACCAGGCTCCTGCTCTTGCCAACGCAGCCATGCCCGCCCCCAACCACCGGGGCACTGCATTCATGAATGCAATTCCTTATTCGTGGATTTCACCATTCATGGGGATCTCAAGAACGTATCCCCCACGAATGGCGAGAATCACCTGTATACTACCCTTCACAGTTAACAGACAATAGATTTCTGTTGTATTAAAACTCCAGAAAGTACTACGGGTGCACTAATAAAGATTTTCCTGGCTGATACCCATAGCCGATTATTAACCAGATACACTGGTCAATACCATCTAGATAACTGATTAAGAGGAATGCAGCCAGGCACCTTGGAGAGCAGCATCCTGCCTGCTGGTAAGTCTGTAGGGGAGAAAGGGGTGTGGGGGAGGGCAGATCGAAGCCCCCACAATGACAGACTCAGTAGGGCAGGGGCTGCCCAGCCAGGCAGTGAATGTGACCCCGGGGCCAGCAGCAGGACCCTGCCACTGCATGCACCCCTGGGTGAGGCATGTGGAGGATGTACCCTCCCAATTTGTGCATGGGGTGGAGGCGAGCTGCTCACTATGGGCTCGGGGCCAAGGGCTGTGCTGGCCTCTTCTCGGTGCAGGATTTGAGCCAAGGCTAGGCTCAGGGTGAGTGGCGGTGGTGCTGGGAGGGGTGGCTATAGCCCTCCCCAAACTACCTCTAGTGCTGCCCCTGCTCAGGGCACTCCAGTCAAAGCACAGTGCCCTGAGCAGGGGTGCAACTAGAGGGGCTTTGGAGTGCTATAGCCACCCTTCCCAGTGCCACTGCTATCCTCTCTCGCCCACCCACCCCAGTGCCACTGCCCCACTTCCTCCCTCATCATGAGGGCCTCAAACTGCTCCCCCATACCCTTCCCCCCCCATACCCTTTCCCTCCCCACAGACTTACCAGCTGGACACTGCTCTCTAAGCTGGCAGGCTGCATTCCTGGCCGCATGCATGCTGAGGCTGGCACGGCTTTATGAACACTCGTGGTGCTCTGGAGAGGTGCCGGAGGATTGGAAGAAGGCCAACGTGGTTCCCATCTTCAAAAAGGGGAGGAAAGAGGACCCGGGGAATTACAGGCCAGTCAGCCTTACCTCGATCCTGGGCAAGCTGTTCGAGAAAATTATTCTGGCATGCATCCAGGAGGGGCCAGCAGGGA